CTTAGCCTATTTATATTTAACAGATATATACGCCGCCAATAGACAAGCCATTCAAAACATATCATTTCACTGTGTACTGGGTTATAATGTATATTTTACAATAAAAACTAAACGTAGCATGTCTCGCTGTCATTTAAAACATGTAATTCATACCACACCAGAGCTGTTGGTCCTACAGTCTTTGCAGTGTGTAAACTTACACGGCGGTGTTACTCATGCGCACCGAAATCTATCTGATGGAGATTATATGTTACTCGATAGACAACATTAACTTGAGAGATTTAAAAAATAAAAGGTATTTTTTTAAAAGGAACAACACGCAAATCTGTAACAAATAAAACTAAAAATAAAATGTCTTGCCAGTGCTGTGTGTATTCCGCCACTGACAGTGCACGCCCTTATGCAGCGCCTGTAACTGCCGCTTTTAAGAGAGATCAAAGCTCTATCGATATAACCAAAAAGCAAGATTATATAGTTAAAAATATTCCATAACAATAATTATCAAAATATTTATACATTTACATGTTGTTTATTGAGTTGTGTAATCTGTAGGCTGTCTGATCTCAGAAGCTGTAAACTGACACGCGTGCAGTGATGTTTCTGACAAGGCGCTTTTATTTAGCCTGTAGTCTTTACATTTTTTTACATAATGTTCCATTACTCAACATTTCTTTTTCATTATTTATAGTTTATATATAAAATGAGTGCTAGCTTGATTAGTTGTGATCATTATGCAAGGATCACATTTCATATTAGGTTTATTCTTCAATAGCCTATAGATTTGTTAATAATGTATTTTATAAACAGATTGTTCATAAGGACTAAGCTGTTAATATATAATATAGGCTTTTATGGTTGTTATTTGTTTGGTTCCAACTTCCATTTTTTTCAGTCTGTAGCATTAGTGTTTTATTCATTATGTCAATAAAAGTTGTGTTGTTTAATAAGTGTTTTATTCATTTATTTTATTTTTTATTTTTTGTAGTTTTCTTTTCGTCTATTTAAACAATTGACGCCGAATTGGTGATTCCCGCAAACACTAGGGGTGTAACGATATTAAAACCGAACTGAAATATAGTGATACATCAACCACGATACGTATCGTGAAACTCTCGTGGTGTACCGTGGTACTCTCACGCCCCCTACTGCCCATTGTTGAGGTTGACGTCACTTGTCTCTAACTAATTGAACCAATTTAAACACATCTTTATTATCATATTTGATTAAATTGTTTTAGTAATGATGAGATTTTGTTCTAAATATTATAATCTAAAGTTAGTATTTTCCAAGTTCATGTCATGTCATGAGACTTGAGTGAGCGATCACTCGTTACTACTGTACGCAGGATGGCTGCTTCACATAGTACTGAGATTCCAGATACCTCAGACACATTTAAGTCGTCTGTGTGGGAACATTTTGGTTTTCCAGTGGAGTACAGGAATAGAATTCGTGTCATAGACGAAGCGCACGGCAATCTGTCACACTAATAAAAATAATATAATAAAGTAGCGAATTCAAACAGAGTATTAAATAAAAAATTAGTTAAAACTTGAGCAAGGGGACGATAGTGAAGCCAAACAAACAAAAAAAGAAATATAACAAAACAATTCTATATAAAAAATAGCATACAAATCAATTGAAATAAAAATGTACAAACCTCACAAAATTTCTTGAAGTGGGTAAAAGTAACGAAAGTAAACGAAAAGTTAAGCAAAAACAACGAAAACCATAATCATTTCAGAAAAATACACGAAAAACTGAAATCAAATTCCATAAAAACAGCATTCTTCCAGCATTCCTTCATATTTTCATCCAAGAATTGTCACGGGGCATGAACAATATGTTGCTGAATGAAAGTGAACTGCTGAACTGCAGTTAAAGCCTAAAGATTAAAAATGAAACACCCAAAAGTTCATGAAACTGCAGGAAACGCTGGATAACCTGGTGATGCGACATTAATTGTTTTATACCAAAACTTTCCTTCTAAAAGCACTTCCTTGGTCTCATCCATATTTCTTTGCACATGAAACACATGACGGTCACAACAGGAAATTAAAAAAAACTGCAACTACAATAATTGCATAATTTTTTTTTTACGCATTAAATATTTCTAATTAATCGCATGTCCTAGCGTGCTAATTTTGACAGCTCTAGCATTTTTATATTCTGGGTAATGCAAAAAACTAAAAAAACTTTCATCCCATTAAATATTGTTGGGCGGACAATTCCGATAATTCTGATAAGTAGCTCAAACTATCTGTCAGCAAATGTAGATTTGTACAACTGCACATCACTGGTCACGGAGATCCCCCAATGGCACGTGTATGTGTGCATTCATGTGCACACGAGACTGTAAAATCAAATGCTGAATCAAAACTTTTTGATATCCTAAACCAATATAGAGTTACTTTTGCATGCTAGAGGAAGGATGACACCATGGCTAAATGATTTATTTTACAGGTGATGTTCTGTTTTAAAACTATTTTAGTCACGCAAAGCTGATATAGATTGTGTTATATTATGAATGGGTTATATGCACAGAAGTGTTGTTCAGCCACTGAAATCTTCCGGCGAACGATTGATAATTATTATTATAATAATACATTTTATTTATATAGCGCCTTTTCAGAGCTCAAGGACACTTTACAAAGAATATAACAAAAAGAGATAATACAAGCAGACATTAAAAGAAACAGTAAACAAGTAGAGACAACATTAGGTACAGAAACATACAGGACGTCAAATATAACAAACTAGAAATACAAAACAAGACCTAAGAAACGGATAAGCAGAGAACAGGTGGATCAGATAAAGTGGTCAGTTTGTCAGATCAAAAGTGAAGCATTCAGAAAAAAAGTGAGTTTTAAGTAAAGATACTATTAGCAGAACGGACTGAACGTGGTAGAGTGCAAGTTTGGGTGCAATAACACTAAATGATCTGACTATTTTCAGTTTCATGAAGACCTTTTACAGCATCGATAGTAATTTTTATTTAGTTTAACAACAAAACATGAGTAAACAGTGCTAATCTGCATAGCCTGCTTTACTGAGGAGAAGTTGGTTTTATATTTACATTGGTTAATTTTTTAACAATGACAAGCTGTGATGCCCTCCCTAAATTGTTTACCATGCTACTTTATGTATTTGGTCTAAAATAGCATGTAAGTATGGCTTTATAATAAGTGTAATAAGTGTAATTCCAAATACTAAGCATACAGTAGTGGCTTTAGGACAAAGTGTGAGAAAGTGAGTACAGCGATCCTTGCATGCATGACGTATTGCACGTTATGACAAGTTATATATTAAAGTACTATAAAGCTTTCTAACTGGGAATGACATGATCTAGTTGGTTGTCTGCTGTCATCAAAGGTGCGAGCATTTGCGATTTCAGGAGGCATGACTTTGGACAGCAGGGATGGGACTGTGTTTCAAAAATATTATGATAACCAGTTAGCGTTTTGGCAGATCACCTATGGCACCTTTAACTATGAATGTGTCTACCCTGTTGTGCTCTGTTGTATTACCTTTACGCATTTGTTACAGTTTTCCTAATTTTTTTTTTATTTTTCTTGACAATTTTCTAAACTGTAAAGAATCTGTATGCATTTTGTATTTTTATACGGTACTATATTCTTTACTAAAAGGAAACCAATAAAAATTTTAATAAATTTCCAATAAATTGTCAAAAAAAAACATTTATCAGTCCTCAACAGAAATTACTGGCCATGAAGGTCATCAGTTCACCTAACTTCACCAATGTTAACCGAGTGCAAACTTAGACAAGCGATCCGCTGATGAATCGACTGATCTTCGCGACTTTAACATGCTCTGGTGTCCATGTACCCGTGTTTGCAATCTGTGAAGAGCGGTGAACTGATGAACTTCACTGCCGATCACAGTCATTTCTTTTAAACCCTAGTAAAAACTGGCAAATCAGCTCTGTTTATGAACACGCGTAAATGTTAGCAAGGAATGGACATTTTTTAAATTTACGTATCATTACAACACTATTACAGAAAACACAAGGGTGCTCTCCAAACATTTTACAAGCGACTGCACTGTTTTATCACTCGATGGATTACATAGGCTGAAGCAAGGAAGCCCCCACAGTGTTTTCCTTGTGCCTAGTTTACCTTAAGCTTCATTCATGATTTCGTTCGATGCCTAATATGCTTTTAATTGGTGAGATTAAACTTAATTGAATGGTATTAAAGTGATCTTTACACCATATCTGCACTTTGATATCATGGTAACAGCTGGAGGTTTGTAGTCCACAGTAGAGCTGCACAATTAATCGAAAAAAAGATTGGCAAGACCCACGCGAAGGCAGGGAGAACATGCAAACTCCACACAGAAACATCAACTGAGCCGAGGTTCGAACCAGCGACCTTCTTGCTGTGAGGCAACAGCACTACATACTGCACCACTGCCTCGCATTGTGATTTTTATTTTAAGCAAAAAAATACATATAAATAAATAAAATAATAATAATAATTGCGATTCTCATTTTATCCAGAATCGTGCAGCCCTAGTCCCCAGCATCTTGTTGCAATGTTTACAGTGCTGGCCCTCTACTTTCGTTTTTTTTCCACCACAAGCTCGCTTTCGTTTTTTAAAATGGCGGAAGTGTGAAATATAATAATAATAAATAAATAGAGCATATTGGCTGTTGAGCTTGTTGACAAATTAAGGGCGCTTTCACACTTGGTTTAATTGCCTGGACCATACCCAAGTCCGATTGTTCCCCTTTCTTGTTTGGTTTGTGATCACACTGTCTTTTTTTAACCTGGGTGCAGACCAAAAGTGCTAGTGTGAAAGCACCCTAAGAAAATGCACGTTGACATCAAATGTCGACTGTTTTGTGTTAAAAGTTTTTTGCTCTGATTGACTTATACTTGCTATTTAAATATTAAAACAAAATGTGTGACATGCATAACTGTAGTAAAAATCATGAACAATAACCTTTGTCATACTAAAAAAACCAAAGGATCACAACTCACATCATCCCAGAATATGGGGTTCTGTTCGTAGCCTCCCACGGAGAGTGCATCACCCTGAAGACGGAGGTAGACTGATGCATCATGGTCCCTGACGTTGGGCATGTTCTAGAAAAAAAAAAAAAACACATTTCATCATCCTTTTCAAAGAAAACTAGCTCATTAAGTGAATGTCTGATGATGAAGCATTTCCATATGGTGGCATTAAAATCAACCAAACGCTTTAACTGAATTTGAATATTTCCCATCCACAAAAAAGTCAATCAGTTTCACTACCACATCATGTGAATGACAAACCGTTCATCACTTCAGTTTCAGTGATGACACATTGGCCTCTGTGTGAAGAGTAACACGGCTGTCATACGGCATGAATCAAACTACAAGCTCACACACGCGCGCACAGTGTTGCATAATCCACAGCCTCTGAGTTAAGTGCTTATGCCACGGCTGCTGTTGTGTTGTCCCACTGCAGTGTTACAGAATAGAGCAAGACAGGCTCAAAAACAGACCTAGAACGAACATGGAAAAAGTAACAGATGGACAAACACAGCAAGGAGAATACACAACACATGAAGTGCATCTACTGCTGATTCCTAATTCAGTAAAGTAGTTATGGACATCAGGTAATGGACATTGTAATTCAGTTCTGAGTGCTATGCTAAAAAAAGATAGCATACATCCAAGATCACTTACAAATAAACCATTCATGTCCATTAAAATCATCTTTATTTAATGAATATTTGCTGCCATGATATCTAGAAAATGGATAAATCTTAATGTTCTTATTTGCCTTGCCATTTTTGTAGCACTAAAATATATAAGCAATTATTAATATTAAATATTACTTAATGAGGGTGGCGCGGTGGCGCAATGGATAGCGCTGTTGCTTCACAGCAAGAAGGTTGCTGGTTCGAGCCCCGTCTGAGTCAGTTGGCATTTGTGTATGGAGTTTGCATGTTCTCTCTGTGTTCGCGTGAGTTTCCTCTGGGTGGTCCGGTTTCCCCCACAAGTCCAAAGACATGTGGTATAGTTGAATTGGGTAGGCTAAATTGTCCGTAGTGTATGCGTGTGAATGGGAATGTGTGGGTGTTTCCCAGTACTGGGTTGCAGCTAGAAGGCCATCCGCTGCGTATAAACATTTGCTAGATAAGTTGGTGATTCATTCTAAGCTGAAAGAAAATGAATGACTAAATTATTTATTGATGCTGGCTTGAGAACCAAAACACTGATATGCTGTTTAAACTATTGGTTAAAACATATTCTTCTTCTATCTGTCTGTGTCTATTTGGTCAAATATTTCCAATCCACCTGTTTGTCTATGTATCTATCCATCCATCCATTCATCATGCATTTTTAAATCATTAGCTAATTACATTTTATAAGTAGTCTACTCAGCTCTGCTAGCAATGACCTAATTCATGTAAGAGCTGTGCTAATTGTAGCAACACAGCAGCAAATTTTAAAACATGCTAACAATTAGCCAACTCATATTAGAAACATGCTAGCAATGTGATATATTATGTACAATTGTGCTAGTTCAAGTAGCAATCCTTTACACATTCCAAGAATGTGCAAATTCATGCTAAACACTTTTAAAATGAGTGGATTCATGCTAACAGTGTGCAAAATCATGGTCTCAACATAAGTCACATTAAAACATGTTTCCAATTTGCTAATTCGTGTTATGAATAGGCTAGCAACATGTTAAATGTAAGCAACACTCTTGTAACCGATTTATCTACTAATCCAGAGCTTATAGTGAGTATTACCTTCAAACTTTTTGCTTAAACAGTACTTTACACTTCAAGCCATTTTAAATGAACAATCTACTTTTTTAAAACAAGATCATTTTAAAAAGTCTTTTAGTTGAGTTTTACCATTTTTGTATCCATTTAGCCTATATCGGAGTCTAGCAGAAGCACTTTTAGCTTAGCATATATGACAGACATATACTGTAGATGACACCTATATCCTGTTGTTGTATATTAGAAGGAATGAGTCAACAGAGCCGCCATTTTAGTACAGAGTAGCACTCCTTTGAAATTAATGCGGGACCAAGTTTCAGTGGAAGACTGTCCAAAGCCAGATATACCCATATATCTATGATCTTGAGTTTTCCTGGTTGTCAGTATGCAAATATATATATTTTTTAATTACGAAAATTATAACTTTACATCACTTTTCCACATTGATGGATGTGACTGCATGGGCCTTGCCAACAAAGAGCATGTGCTTGTGTGCATGGAAATGTACTATCCTCCCTCCCTGTTTAATCTGATCTAATCCGAGTCCTTTCACTTCTCATTTTGACGAAAGGAGTGATAGCATTGTTTGATAATATTATTCAACAAAACTAATATAGCACTGGAATTGAGTGCGAGTAGGTGCTCCTTTGCCTTATGGTGAATGGAGTAAGAGACTGTATTATTTTATCATCAAGAACATTACTTGTTAAGCACAAAAGTTCATAACATATAAAAAAAGTTAAAAAACTAAATCTTACCTATGAAATGTGATACCTTTGTGCTTTGTTTTTTTTTATTTGCTTGTTACTACACCCGTACACAGTACTAAAGACCAGCATCTTCACATTGGCACACTGTCTTGACTAGTGCAGTTGAATGACATTTGTACTGAGAGCCCTGTACAAATGTGACCGCGCTATTAACGCATGCTCAGGGCCCCTATGCGACATCTAGTGTTAATATCTATGAGCATACACCACTAAATCAGATTAGACCATTAGCATCTGGCTAACAAAATTACCTGAGTTTTAATAATTTTCCTATTTAAAAGCTTGAGTTCCTACAGTCAAGCTTTATATAGGAAAATTATGCAAACTTTTTTTTTCTAGTGAGATGCAAATGGTTTAATGCGATTCAATGATTTATTCTAAGCTAAGCTAAAGGAGATTGGCTGAATTAATTCAAATACGGTGTAACTCAACAGTTTGATTCTAAGTGACTTGTAAAACGAGCCCATTTTTGTTCCTTTAAACTGAAAACCTCTAACTGCTTTAAACATTCTGACCAAGCCTCTTTATTTTTATAAACATTTCTATCGAATTATGTAATACAATAATTATATTTAAACTTTTATTATTATGGTTTTGTTAGTAGGTAAACATTAAACTGCACTTCATAAGCTATTTGACAAATTCTAATGACTGTAAAAACACGTACAATATTTACTGTTCTAAAACCCTCCATTTAAATATTAATAATAAAAAATATATTAGTAAAACATGGATAATTTAATTAAACATGCAAGTACCTGAGAAGATCTAAAGCCACAATTTCAACTTATACAAAACAATTTTTAACTATTATTTTTATTAAAGTATATAGACGTAACGCTATGACCACTAAACTGCTGGAAACATTAGAGTAAAACTGATCTGTGTAAAATTTTTACACCACGACAACTGAAGCCTGATTTTCACGTCAATTTTCTTTGGTTTCCTTGGTAGCGCATTTAAAAATAGTACCATTTAATCTCTCATTGACACTGTTAAGGTTGAAAATGCATATTCATGTGCAAAACATTTTATTAATGCAGCATTATTATAGAGCACAAAAAAACTAGAAGCTTAATCTTTTTTATATATATATATATATATTTGTGGATGTTAATGTCATACAATGCTATTTTCATGTCAAATATCATACTTAACGTTTAGAAAAAAAATGAAATAAATATATAAAACGAAAAATAATAAGTTAAAGTCAGAATTATTAGCCCCCCTGAAATATTAGCCCCTGTTTATTTATTTTATTTTTATTTAATCAATTTCTGTTTAACGGAGAGATTTTTTAGATTTTGGTTAAACGATTATAGTCTGAAAAAAAATATTTCACTGTTATCACCATTATTATGTTTAACCATTTATTAAATTCAAGACACTACTAGTTTAGAAAATAAAAAGAAAACTGCTTAAATTTGAAAGTGTTGTTTATTGCTGCTCGGTAACCACATACAGCTGAAAATATTAATAAAAAACAAACAATAGTCCAATTCTTTCTTTGGACTTAAAAATAAATGAAATGGTTTTTGATTTAAACATCAGAGATAATTTTGCAATGACAATAAATGACAGAACAATAAATAAATAAATACAAATAGCAATAAATAAAAAATAGTATGTCTAAAGTTAAGCTATATATTTAGCTAAGAATTTAAATGAAGTGTTGTTATTATCTGCGTTCATACATACATTATCATTTTAAAAATTTGTAATAATTCGTCTAATATATATTTTCTTTACATTTCTCTAAAAGTCACACACAACTCTTACCACTAATTTCTACTGGATGCTCCTGGAGTGTGCGTATGCGTCGGTCCGCTTCCCAGCCGTGCACGCGTCGCTCCCAATATGTGCACGTCTCCATTGGAAACAATGTACTAGCGTGCGGAAAAGATGCAACATGTCAACGACTTGCTGCTATAGTAAATCCAATATGCATGCGTACTGGCATAATTTTGTTTAGTGTCAGCAGCTTTTTTTCTGTGCAACAGAAATGCAGCGTTGAGAAGCCTTTAATGATTAAAAGTGGGGTTAATAGTGAAATCGCCTAATCATTGTACCCCTATTAACGATATCAGTGCATTGTACAAAAGGCCTTTTCTACAAACATATCTAAATGTTTTCGGCTGCTCGTGCCACTCATTTAATGTCAGATGACTCACTCTCTGCGTAGCCTTCAACTGCAGCATGTGCTGTATTAAATAGACACAAATCACTTTATAACTATAGCGACCATTTTTCGACTAAATTTGCTTTAAATAAATTTATTTTTGATGTCTTGGTCACACACAGAGGGCCAGAACAAATTGCCTTGGGGACCACGGGCCGGCAATTGAATAGCTCTTGCTTGAAGTCACATTTAAAGGCTTAACTACTGTAGGTTAATTAGGTGAACTAGGCAGGTTAGGGTAATTAGGCAAGTTATTGTATAACAATGGTTTATTGTGTAGACTTTCAAAATAAAATATAACCTAAAGGGGCTAATAATTTTGACCTTGAAATGGCTTTTAAAAACTAAAAACTGCTTTTATTCAAGCAGAAATAAAACAAATAAAATTTCTCTAGAAGAAAAAATTATATCAGA